CTTATTTCAGGTCATATTGAATAAAAGGTTTTAGCTCAGTTAGTAAAATGTACATTTTTGGTCATTGAAGTGTCAGAAAGGATTATCCAATATATTCTCATTGACTAACAGCTGATGATTGACAAGCCAGTGAGCGTGCGGCTCTTTGGCTAATGCTCCACCAAAGCCAGCGTCACGCAAATATAAGCAAACAGATCTGCACAGAAACGACCAAGGAGAGCACGAAAGGGTTATAGGCCTTATATCTGTGTAATCTCTGCAATGATAGCACAACCGCACGTGTGTGTGTGTGTGTGTGTGCAGGTTTCAACTGGATGGTCGGGGTGATAAAGAAGATCATCACAGCGGCTACAGGCGTGAAGTCGGAAAGCAAACTCCCACCGCTGAGTCTTTGCCCTGCAATCAAATTGTGTGTGTGTGTGTGTGTGTGTGTTTTGACTAATCTATATGAGACACTAAAAATCAGTCATTATTATTACAGTTATTGTTAGAAGCCGGCCTCCTGTCTGCAGGTGTGCTGTACAGGTGAAAGGTCGAGCCGTGCAGAGCGCCTCTGTGTTTGCGTGACACACCTGCTCCTGTGCAGACACAGATACCATCTAACAGCGCGGGCGCGGCGACACGTCTGAAGCACTTGTGTGTGTGGTGCTTTTAGCTATATGATAAACAGGCATGGTTTAAGAAACTGGAAGGCTTTGCTCCAGGGGAGGCACATTCACTGTCTGCAGCGTTCGTGTCTCTCAGTACAGTTTATAGCCGTTACCTTCTGATGAAAATAAAGATGTCATTCAAACCCAGAAACCACAGAAGTGCATTTTCCATTCATGCATTTTTCTTTAATGTGAACTCATTTTTACTGTTAGGCTCCACTACAGTGGCTTTACATGATTCGCTTCAGAATAATCTGCATTTATATCGTACTGGGCCGACTGTGGGCTAAAACCCTAACCCAGATTACTAATTTAACAGTCTGAACACTGATGTTTGTAAAATATGCACTAAAATAAGACAATATTTCATCAGCTGCTGCTACTGGCCGAGCCTTGTTCATTCAATTTAACAATTAAAAAATCTAAACATAAAGTGATTAGCAATTATTCGGACTCTCTCAGTTCTATGTGACCGGGAGAAGGCTGTCCGTTTTCTCATCGTTACAATTTTAAACCAAAACACATCAAATAAATTAAAGAAGCCGGGCTCGTTGTACTGGAACCCCGGAGCACACATTGATGAGGAGCTGTGTGGATGTTATTTTACAGCACAGTACTGACGAGGTCCCTGATCCACATCTGGATTCCTGTCAGGCTTCTCCTCAGCGTTCAGTCACTGAACGTCTGTGAGCTGCTTCAACATTTTATGAGATAAAAGGTTTAAATCAGACCCCGAGATGAAGATCACATCTATGTAAAAACAGAGCAAAATGTCTTTTCAGTCTTTGCTTTCTTCAGGAAGTTGGTTTGTCTGCTCCCATGTGGAAGTCATTTAATAGGCTGATTCCTACACAGTTCATGTTTAGAGTATGGAGGCCTTTTCCTCAGTTTCTTTTGACAGCACTGATTTGATCCCAGAGTCGCCTGAGGAAGAAAAACCAGTAAAACCTGTGTTTAATAACTGCAAGTTAAAAAGTACAGTTAGATCACACGTGCCTGCCTAAAGTAGAAGAACTAATATATTTGTATGAAGTCATATTAGGTGAAAGGTTGGATTCAAGCACGCAAACTTAACTGTAATCAAACAGTTTGTGTAGTGAATATTTTAAAAGAATAAATCCTGAAACTACGTTTAAACGTTTGTGTTTACAGCTTGACTGCAGCTGAAATCACTTCCAGGTGTGACGTAATCATGTGAAGCAGCTGCTTTGTTTGTTCCTGTTTGGATTCACAGCATTTTCCTCGTAATTTTCCAAAACTTAAATTCGGTTTAGCTGGAAATAAATCAAAGATACTTCAAAAATGAAAAAAAATAAAAGAAAATTTGTATTTATGTAGCACCTTTCAAGACAGAATCACAAAGTGCTGTACATAAGATTATAGCAGTCAACAAAGTCAACAGAGTTCAGCATTTTTGTGGTTTGACTCTGGGAAAAGCAGCTGATTGGCTCACTGAGGAGCAGATGTGATTCCCTGAAGGTGCTTTTTCACTTCCTGTTTGAAAGAAAAGGCACATCTGGGCGTGTTGCAGCTGTTCAGTCACAAACGTGCAGACAGTAATTCATCGTGAGTCGAACCCTGTAGCATTACAACCCTGACAAATTACAGCAGAAATTCTGCAAATTTGCTTTAAGCAGACTGAATCGACCCAGAGAATGTGAAGCTGCAGACCGGTGCCGGTCCTTTGGTACACTGGGTTCCTGAAAAGCCACACCCTGGGCCAAAGTGTTTGCACAAGCAACGCCTTCCCTGCTTTCACCAGAATAAGACTCTAAGTGCATGTCATAAAATGTTGGGTAAATATGGTATGTTGTGTCCACCCTCAGAACGTGGAAGAAGCTCCTTCTCCAAGACTTCTGGGTGCTCACCTTCACCCCGACAACATTCCTGCTTCCTTCTACGAAAAGAAGACTAAGGTGAGTTTCACGAGCTCTGCAGGAGACGTTCAGCTGCATACTGCTGCCACAAGCATCTGTGTAAAAATCAAGCTCTCATTTCCACAACGAACTGCAGCTTTTCCAAATGTAACCCCAGGATTTAGATGCTTGGTTGATGACAGTGGAAACTCTGTAAGAAAAAGAACAGACCGACGCATGGACCCTGCTTTGAGGAAAAATGTGGCCAATGTTCAGAGTAGTTGTAACTGTTGTTCCCGTCTTTCTGTTCTTGTATCCTTTCTCTCCTCTCTCCAGGTCAATAAAATCTCATTTGTGTGGTTTGTCTTGCACAGATTCTGGTGGTCTTCAGAAACCCGAAAGACACAATGGTCTCCTTCTATCATTTCTCCAACAGCAACCCAGCGCTCCCATCCGCAAAGTCCTGGGACACCTTTTACTCCCAGTTCATGAGTGGAGAAGGTGAGCAAACAAACCGAGCATAATACTTATTAATGTGAGGAACGCTGGACACACTGTGGTCCAAACCTTGTCCATTAAAATACCAGCTTTTGTTTCACTCTTTGATTTGGCTTCATAATCCTGAGCTTTGCTGCACTTGTGGCCTCACAAACAGCACATAGTGCTGACTCAGCAGGGTCACGGTGGAAATGTTGGATTGGTCCAAGTGGGGCAAAGAGCTGCTGTGGCCCCACTTAGTGAGTTTGCTATGAAGCACTGCAATAAAACAGTTAGTTTAGTTGCTTATCAGGCCTGGACTGAGCACAGAGAGATGCTTGTCAGAGTATAATAAACACAGATACCATAACCTGTAAGTAAGAGATTTATAATGTCTATTAAAAGAGAAAAAGTACAGAAGAAATACTCGGTCCAAGACTGAGTTTCTGTGATTCTGAAATTGGATTTAAAAAGAGCAAAAATTATTTAAAATAAATTCTTCTGACTGTAAAGAAAACTATCAACGAGTGGCACAGGAGTTACTGCCAAGAGTGTATTAAAAAAAGGCTTTGGTTAGCTTGAGACACCAAAGATTATTCCATCAGGTTTATCACTAGACAGTACTTGGTTTGCTAAAATTACTCAGCTTTAGGTGTGAAAAACGATTTAGTCAAGGAGCTTGGAAAGAAAAGCGTCTGGACTTCTTTAAGTTGCTTGAAGACGTTTCACCTCTCATCCGAGAAGCTTCTTCAGTTCTAAGGTCAAATGGTGGAGAGTCCCAGATTTAAACCCAGTGGGAGTTTCCCCCCAAAGAGGGACAAAGGACCCCCTGATGATCCTCTACCTAATCACATGAGCCAAGGTGTGAAAACGGGTGTGGGTCACAATCAGCCAGGGTTTCGGGTGAGCTCATTGTGAAACCTGGCCCCACCCTATCATGTGATTTCCTGAGGTCAGATGGCCCAGGATGTGAGTGGGCGACTGGGGACCACGACCCTCGTGGGGACACTCCCATAGGCCTTAAAATCTGGGACTCTCCACCAGATGCTTTTATAACTGAAGAAGCTTCTTGGATGACGCTTTTCTTTCCGAGCTCCTCAGACTACGATGACTGAGAACCTTCACAGACATAAAAACTATTTAGTTTAGCTTTGGATGCTAAAAATATCTTGGTCAAATTTAGGCGTTAAGAATGGGTTAAGCAATAATTTGGTTACCTTTAGGTCCTAAAAATTACTTCAGAGCTTCTGAAAAAAACTGTTTCTGAAGCATTAGAATGAATGAGATTATTGATTTGGAAATCAAGCCATCGTCAATACTGGGAAGAACCCTGACAATATGACTTCATAAATTCAAATCGTTTTTGATTAATTCATTTGAACCTAGACCTGGAAATTACACGTCTCAAATTGAGATATTCGGATATGATATATATAATTTATTCAGATTAAAAAAATCTATAAAATTTGATTTTAAATCTGAAGACTAGAATTACAGAAGCATTTCTAACTAAGCATGGGAAAGAGTGGCTTCGATTTTGGGGGCCATCTTCTGACCTGGACATCTTTCTTACTTTGTGAGTCATTAAATTTTTGTCATTGTTTGTGTGTAGTTCCCTGGGGGTCATACTTTGACCACGCCTTAGGTTGGGAGAAGAAGATGGACGACCCCAATGTCATGGTCGTTACATATGAAGAGCTGAAACAGGTAAAGCTGCATTTGACATAGAACAGTTAGACACCGCAGGGGTTTGTGGTAATGTGCAGTAATGATTCTTCTGTTTCCCGTAGGACCTGAGCGAGAACATCCGTAGGATCTCCAGCTTCTACGGCTTCAGCCTGACAGAGGCTCAGGTGCAGCAGATCGCAGATGCGAGCACCTTCAAAGCCATGAAGGAAAGCTCCAGCAGCTCCCACGGCAATATGGGGAATGTCTTCTTCAGGAAAGGTGCCCAGAAAGTAGCCTAGAAAACGAGAAATGCATACTGTGATACTTAGCCAACATCTTATCAATCCTCAGGTGGAATCCAAATGCAGCTGTTTCACTTTGTGATGTTTGTGTCCCTGCAAAGGTGAGGTTGGAGACTGGAAGAACTATTTCACACCAGAGCAGAGCCGAGAGATGGACGAGGTCTTCAACAAACGTCTGGCAGGAACAAAGATAGGAGCCAAACTTAACTATCAAGCACACTGTCAGTAGGAGGAAGACAAAGGAAGACACAGGAGAGCTTTGGGAAAAGGCATCTTTATGTGGGTTTACCTTTAATATTGTTAAACTTAAATTAGTGGATGAGGCTCAGTTCACAGCCAAAGACCCACTGTTTAAATCTCAAGTAAAACAAGCAGAAAAAAAGGGATAGAAAGAGGGAAAACCGATCTCATGATTCAAGCATTTTAACCCCAATATGCAAATGTAGTTTCAACCGAAGTCTGATTGTGTTGTGATTAGAACCTATTCTGCTCATTTCCAGCTCCATATTTCTATCCTTGGACTGGAGTAACTTTGCATTATTCACAGCACCAGTATTCAAGCAATATATGCACCACCCACTTCTCAATTTGAACATCAGATGGGGGTGGGGCTCCTGTGCCTCAGGTGACCTCTTTTTGACATCATACAGATCCAAGAGTAGAAAAAACTGTCACAAACTGAGTGTTTATAGCAGTCTGCAACCGGAGCTTTTGACTGACAGGGATTATTGTATCTCATTATTTAAAACTCTGGTCAAGTTTAATATGAACATCCATCATTAGACCAGGAAATGAGGAGGACTAACTCAAACTAAAACCGCTTTTTGTTTCCTTTAAATCACATAAAGTAGATAAAGTGAGAGATGTTTGGTGTAGTCCTGATGATTCAAATCAAATGAGCACACTCGTTCGAACGGCAGCTACCTGGAACCATGATGGTGCAGTTCAGGAAACACTCCTGTGGCTGATTCTGTGGCAATCAAACAATACTGTAAAACAGTCACATTTTGAGTTACATGTACATTACTACAAACAGCACATCGCTGGAAGATATCATTGCAATAAACAATAGATCTCTTTTGTCTTGACTCTGTCGGGTTTTTTATGATGAAACAATTTTAAAGTTTACTCTCGGGGGACATCTGAATGTTTTGAGGAAGTTGGATGACTTTAATCTTAAATCTAAAAAGTTTAGCTTTTCAAGCTTAATTTAAGGTACAGTCAGTACTTTTTTTGGCTATTTTGTCTTTTTTTTAAAAAGCATACTGTATCCATAAATGTCCATGGAACAGTGTGTAATTAAATTATCCAACAAACTGTTCATTTTTGTATTTCCTGATCTTTTGCTAAGTGATGATATTATTCAAATATGTTCAAATGTAATTTGTATGAAAAGTATTTCTTAAACAAACTGTAGTAGAAATATACAGCCAGCTGTGGCTGGTAAGGGATAAAATCTGATGGTAATGTTTTTTATCTATGGCTGACAAAAACCTGCTTGTCCTATAACAGCCACCATAGCTGGAATAATACACTTAAATTGGGAGAAGTAAGAAAACAGAATTCAGCTGATTGCAACCTGCAATCTACTGACATCTAGTGGTGAAAAATTCTACACACTGTACCTTTAAGCTGTTTGTTTAATGTTGTGTTGAAAGTAACTGCTGTTACAAAGGAATTTTCCACTTTTGAGATAAACAAAGTATCTAAAAAGAAATAAAAATGATATCTATCCCCAGAAGTTAAGATATTGTGTTACAGTAGCCAAAACTAAGCTAATAAAATAGCTTCATATAAAATGTTATAAAATAATAAAAAAGCTATTTTTGTAAAAATAAAAGATTGCTCAAAATGGTACAAATAAAACATAACAAAAAGTAAAAATAAGTAACATTTTAAATAAGACAGATTCAATGCTTTTTCTTTTTGGTCATTCTTACACATGTATTCACATGAAACGAACATTTGCACCCAAGTCCAGCGAGACCTGAAAACCAAAAAGAGTGAAGACACAAAAGCAACAGAACAGAAAACACATTTACAGTCTTATTCAGTATACATAAGAAAATCTTTTATTATTATTATTATGATTATTATAAACAAGAAAATGTTCAGGCAGAGAGTGAACATTTCAGAGGCTCCAGAGCAGTGCCAGAGTTCAACAGTCTTACAACTTGCTGGAAAAAGTTCCTCAGTTGTTCATGCACCGATTACTGCACTAGTTTTCACAGTCAGTCTCATCGTTGGTGGTGATGCATCGCCATCCCAGCTTTCAGGTTTTTCCTGAGCAGTCATATGACAGCAGTAAAAGTAAAAAAAAGAGGAAAAATTCTAATAAATACGTTTAAAACGAAAAAAAAAAGAAAGAATAAAAACCTTGAATATAAATAAATGAACAAAACCAACAGTTTCGCCGGCACCCTGGACGGAAGTGACGCATTTGATCTTATTTTGAAACGTTTTCCCGGATGTGGCTGGTCAGCGGCGCTGCTAGCTTGCTGTCTGGTCCTATGTGTCCTGAATGAATGACATCATGCAGGCTGCTGTTTGCGTCGGGCTGCGAGCGGACTCCTTCAGACAGTAACGGGTCATCTGGGAGTGTCATCTGAAGGCAGCCGTTAAAGCTGCGCGCGGTAAGAGAGTTTAAATCCTTCCGCCGTGATTCAGCGATTGTTTCGGTCTCTGCTAACCCGCTTGGCTAGGCTAGGCTAGCAGCTGCAGCCAGGTAAAGCTAACGGTGCAGCTTTGTGATAACGACAGGTACCTGTTGTTCAGACTCGGGATCAAACGGACTCTGAGGGGGAACCGAGGGGGAAGTCCTCTCCGTTTGTGCTCAGCCGGTCCGAGCTCACTTAAAATCACATATTTTCGGTCTATATTAACTATAAACACAATAATCCTCCAAGGTAACAGAAACTTAACATTAGCCCAGGTGTACATGACTATGTATATGTGTTTAAAACCCCCAAAACAAAACAAATAAGCTGTGTAAAATGAGGCTTTCATCGCCCATAATAATCTTTTTTGTCTTTTTATTGTAAAAAGAAATGCAATGTACATTTAAATAAATTAAATAAATGTATTGAAACGAGGATGTGATGTTGCACTGTGTCTTTGTGGATCTACAGAAACCATATGCTAGACTGTCAAGTATGTGAAGGTGGTGCAGGATATGTATGAGGTGGGGTGTGTGAAGGGCTGACAGGTGGGTTTACATCAGGGGTCTGATCTGAGCCCCTTGTTGTCTGCAGTGGTGATGGACAGATGAGGTCAGGCAGGGTTATCTCTAGACATCCTAAAGGTTACCAAGTTTGTGTCTGCTGTAAAGTTGGACATTCTAACCTGGGAGTCTATGGAGTGGGTGTTTGAGCTAATGCAGCTTTTGTAGTCAGTAAATTAGGGTCTTCAGTCTTTCAGCACTAATCCCCTCCGTACTTCTCAGGTGTAAGGTGATGCAGCAGAAGTTGTGTTCCCGAGGTTCTGGATCCTTCCTTTTAGAGAGGAACGGCCAGGCCTGCGGCGCGATTGTGGACACTGTCACTCCCTGTGACCTCCCCTTCCGCTGTCCCCGCTGTGGCGAGCAAGAGCGTTTCCACAGTTTGGCTTCCCTCCGCGCTCACCTCGAGTACCGCCACTCGTATCGCTCACCAGACATGGTCACTGAAGGGTTCAGCATTACCGGGAAGCTCCCCGACCCGCTGACGGCAGCTATCCCGTGGCACGACATGAGCCTCCCGACGCGTAGGGGGCAGCAAAGTACAGGGAGGCCACCTCATGTCCGCTCTCTCAGCGACAGCAGAGACAGCGGATACCTCCACTCATATGGGTCTGCGAGGAGGCGCACCCAGAGCGTTGGGGTAGGGACGCAGGCGGAGGAGGAGGAGGACGAGGAAATCGATGTGGGGACAGAAGACGAAGATGTGGAAGAAGACGAGGAGGATGAGGACGATGAGGGTGAAGAGAGAAGTGGAAGCAGAAATGAGGAGGATTTGAAAACTTCCTCAAAAAAGTCAGACCATCACCACATCAACCACCATCACATACTGTTCCCCCCACTTGGCCCTCCACCGGACCCAGATCTGGACCTGGATCTGGATCTGACTGGTGGGTTTCTGGAGCAGAGTGTTGCAGTATCAGAATACATCTGTTTTTTGCAGTAACGTCTCGTCTTGTTTGCACCTACCAGAGCACAACTCCTACTCCGGTTTGGAGACGGCAGCAGCCTCGGCTGCAGTGCGGCAGCGGCTGGCCAGCATTCTGAGGGCGGCCGATAGCACCATGCAGCGCCGGCTGGCCAGGGTGAGCACCGAGCTGGCTCATACCGACACGGAGCTCCTGTGTGAGCGTGCTCACTCACAGCATCTGGCCCAGGAGAGGCAGGAAGTTGCAGACAAGGAGAGGTCGCTTAGCCGACAGGTGGATGTGGCTGTGATGGTTATTGCCGCGTTGAGGGAGCAGCTCAATGCCTCAGAGAATGAGCTGGAGCGGCGAGAGAGGTGAGGCGGGCAGGATCTCACTGATGTGGTCTGGAGCAGCGGTCCCCAACCCCCGGGCCACGGACCGGAGTCGTTTGGTACTGGGCCGCGAGAGTTGAGGTTCGGGGGTGAAATTTATGTTTTCAGGGATTTATTTTTTTGTTTGTTAAGAATAAATCTTCCTTTTTTTGGTACCAGTACTGGTTTTATTTTGTTGTATTTATGCGCGACACCTTAAACGCCGGTCCGTTAAAATATTGTCGACCATAAAACGGTCCATGGCGCAAAAAAGGTTGGGGACCGCTGGTCTGGAGGATGTGCCAGGTGGATGGTGCTGGACTCCAGGGTTGCTCCTTGTCTCTGATCCTGCTTATCAGATTCATGGACAGGATCTGAAGGTGCAGCCTGTTATTTCCCTTTTGCCTCTCTTGCATAGCTGGGGGTGAATGGTATATTTAAGTTATGAATTGGGTGATTTTTGCTTTGCAGGGAAGTGTTAACCATCCAGAAGTTTCTGGAGGCAGCGGTTCGCCAGGAGACGTGCGGCAAAGTTCGAATCCAGCATTTCATCGAGAATCTGCTGAGACGTATCGCTCTGGCCGAGAGGCTGGTGGAGTATTACCAGGTCAACGGTAGTCCGCCACAGTGCAACCACTACAAGGTACTGTCTTTGGTTGTTTTTATTCATTCATTTATTTATTCTAGTTGTTTTGTAAGTCTTTGTGTTTCTTTATGTCATTTTATGTTTGTTTTTTTTCAGCTGCTTTTAAATAACTTTTACACTGACAGACTGAATTAATCCTGACTTTTCCAGTTATGATGTTTTACTGTGGTGGGTTATTGCTCTGATGAAGGCCTGATTCTTGTGATTTTTATCACCTCAGCAGCACCAGCAGAAAACTGATAACGGCCCTCACAGAATAACTAAGAGCAGGTGAGTCCATCGTTACTTTAAATAAACAGTATTAGCGAATTTTCAGACTGAAATCAAGGAGAAATATTAAAGTGTTAACTGGACACAAACAGGTTGAACCTTATACTTATATTATTAAATACTGCTAAGAAATGTAGGATTTAAAATCGTATTAAACTCTGGCCGCCCTTCTCTGAGCCTGGTTCTACTGGAGGTTTCTTCCTGTTAAAAAAAAGAGTTTTTCCTTCCCACTGTCACCAAGTGTTTTCTCATACAGGTTTGTCTGATTGTTGTGGTTTTCTCTGTATAATTACATCATAAAGTGCCCTCAGGTGACTGTTGTTGTGAATTTGTGCTATATAAATAAAGTAGATTTGAATTCATATGTGTTCCTCTGAAAGTGCAGCATTACAGCAGCTGTTTCCTTTTCCTCTTGGCTTTTTATTGCAAATCATTTGAATTTGAGCTGAGAGGGAGGAAAGTCGTCAATAACCGATGGGGTGTAGGTGTAAAAAGGTTTGTTGCTCAGCAGGAACTGGCCTCTAACAGAGCAGGTAATCTGCTGCTGTTGGTCTAAATCAAAGTCAAAATCATCCAGGAGCTTTCTCGTGTCATCTGTCGGGTTTCTCTGTGGTGTTCTCATGTTTAATTCATGGCTCCACATGGGATGCTTTGTGCTTTCGCTCAGTGACTGCAGAGG